TCCTGCATAACCGCTACCTCCCGTATCAGAGGTCAGGATTTATTATCGCCATTTGGCTCCACTCTTCTGCCTATTTATGATATCCTCCTCTTTTCAATCTGTCCGGTATTTCCCTTCTGACCCTCCTTTATATTCATAAGCTCGGAGTGGCGAATCTATGCTCACCGGTGTCCAGGCTTAATTCCACATTGACAACATCCTTAGTCTCTCTTCTATCCCTTGCACTGAACCAAGCCTTTGAAGCCTTTACAGACCTCAAGATACACCTCCACTGGAAGGGTATTTGTGAAGGGTTTTCTGTCAACGTTGAGAGATTCTGATCGGTCTAGATTTCTATGTTAATTTTTGTATTTGAGCCGGGGTATGAAGGCTATTTGGCAAAATATAGGCTCATGGCATTCTGTTAATTTAGGCCCCATGTAGGCATCCTATTAAATAACCAATAAAATCATTGCATTACCCTCAGGGCTGATCAGGGAATTGGGTACATAGGCCTATTTAGAGGATGATATGAGAGGGGACCTCTGTCTGGACCCTTCTCTCTTGGCCAAGGGAGGATGGTCGCGAGTTGTTCCATAAGTTAGGCTATTTGCGATTCTACTAGGGCTTAGTTAAGGCGCTCGGGAGAATACCTCGATGTTAACAAATGAGTGTGAGGGCACCTCAGATTCAACCCCTCAAACCCCTCAGTGCAGGTCAATATTAAGATGGCGTAATATCATACTTGCGACTTGTATTCTCTGTGTCACCGCCATACATCGGCGGGTCGGTGTATGGGTCACGACGTAGGTTCCTATGATATAGAGATAGAGGAGGAACATCTCTCAAGCACCCCCGGATATTATCTTAGCCCATGAAAAATGAACACACTACGGAGCCTCGCTACAGGCTGGCTGAGGGGTCCCCCAGATGGAGTACCTCTAGGAGTACTTTGAATAGATCCCAAGGCCATCTCCTATTCGCCGCGGAAGTGCCCCCTCGCCCAGAATTCCCTTAGAACAAAGGAGTGCTATTGAGTATTCCCCCCGCAATCTCCCGCAACAAAGAAATATAAGGTAAAACCCCCTCTCTTCCAATTTTTCCATTCATACACCATAATGCCCAAGGGGGATTTTTTACCATTCTTTCAATAGAGTCTGAGATACCACTGTGTCACCACTACATCCACTGTATCCATTTGTCTTTACCCTTGAGCACCCTCCGGCATCAACATAATCTAGCTTTACCCCCTTTGCCTTGTGAGACTTTTCCGTCCCAAGATATGCTCTTCCAGACCACCACCTCACAGGGGTTGGTTTTAATAGTACCCGTTTTATGTAGGGATCCCAAGTGTCCATAAAGTCCCCCCCCCCCCGCGCTATATCGGTAGCAACACCTGACAGGTAACTAGCGGTTGGAGGTTCCAACCAGCACGATACATGTGCACATTTGTCTTGAGTCTAGGCAACAGGTATAACCGGAGGTCTCAAGGCACCCGTTGACTCAAGCACACGACGCAGTCAAGAATCTGTGTTTGATGGAAAGTATTGTTCGTGTGGACCAAAACGTGCACGGAGCTGAAAAAGTGAGGGGGTTATGAGTAAAGCTGTTCTCTATACTTTGTTTTAGAAGCAAGCGACCATGATTTTTACATTGTGCTTGCAAGTGAGGAGGACTTGCGGCAAGAATGTGGGTCCAACGTTCCAGTAAAGGCGTACCTGTTTACTCACTACTATCTTCCCCTTTTGCTCCCGAATCCTTAGTTCTGGGCACGATATCATCAATTCCCCGAATTTGATATTTCTTCTCTTGAGGCGTTGGCAGGATGGCGGAATTGAACTAAGATAAAATGATCCCATTCTAAGAGATTGTTCTAAAAGAAGGATGGAGAATCAACGAGACTCACTCCCACTTTCAGGAACTTCTCACCAAACAGAGGGAATGGATATTCTGTATCCATCCATCTGTTTGTACTGGATTAGCATATATTACCCCAGTGCTGTGATCTGCAAAGACATCATGGGACTCAAATACAATCAACATAATGTACAGCACCCCTTTCTATATATTTTAGTTGCACGGGTGCTTCTATAGTATCTCTTTTTGGTACGCTGCGTACCTGGTGGTATCCCTAGGACCTATACATGGCGGTCGCGAGTAAGCATATGGGACCCAAGAGTAAATATGTGGCTCTCCGGAGTGTCCTTGGGGTTCCCCATCCACTGAGCCATGGGTATATTCCCCAACGTTGAACTGCCCGGAAGATGTAAATAGTGACGGATCCTAGGACCCTATGCCGGCGCCCCATCCGGAGCCGGTATGAACGAATGTTTATCGTTGAGCTAGCATGAGCGCGGGATCGCGCGTGGGTCCGCATCCATATGTGACACCGCAGTTTCAATTCCTCAGCTGTGAGTTTACGTAGCTCTGTTAGCCTAGGGTAAACGCATATGCACAGGTCCTTCGAGTGGGGTTGATAGTGTACACGTGGTGGCATTTGACTTTTGCGGACCAGGCCGCCTCTCGAAGGGCTTTGTTTGTCGGGACCTGTTAGGGGGGGACAGTGCTTCTCCACGGCAAGAATAATTAGGCGGCTCCAACGGCCCTTCTGAGGTCACCCCTGACGTCAACCCCCTGGGAGAACCTCTAGATCCACAACGAAAAGACCCGTTAGAACAGGCCTCTATGACAACCTCGAGTATCCCCTGTTCCGTCTCTAACCTTCTATTTAACTCAACTAGCTTGTCAATAAACCTCCCAGAAATCCGGATACAGTAAGAACCAATGCACCCGTCCACCCGGCTTTCAGAGAGTCAGCACAGGCACTGATAGGTTTCGCCCTCCTAGGAGCACTGGGTTGTTTTAGTTGTATGGGGACCGCCGTGTTGTAAATATACCCTCTAGCTACATTTCCCATTGCGGGTGCCCTGCCAAATTGGGACTTCAACATGACGCCTGGGTTTGTTGCTTGTGGACTAGCACTCGCTTCCAACTCTCGAGTGACCCCCAGTGACCCTTCACTGAACCTTGGCACTGAATCGGTGGGGGTGCCGGGAAAATGTATGCCTCCCAGGGCTGTTGCCTTCGGGAACTATGCATAGTTCGGCACGATGGAAGCGGGTTGAGCGGTATGATATCATAATCGTAGCACTTGTAGCCCTAATTTCGGATAGGGCTGCTGGGGAAACATTGGCGAAAAGGGCAGCAGGCACCATCCTGATTATACTGCCCCGGCTGGACCTTATCCATCCGTTAAAGGTCAGAGATAATGGTGTATGATACAGTCCCCGCTCCGGAGGGCCCCACGCTCAGATCAGTGAGACCCTTTTGTGCAAGGAATTCCGCGTTCGAGGAATGCGGTTTCGTATACTCTACAGCCTGATAGAAGCATAGGGAATGTTCTGAACCATACAACTTATTCCTACAGATTCAGTAATGCGACATCAATATAATACATATCCCACGAGCGTTCTTCCCCACCCCCACTCCCGGCGCCTCTATTAGCGCCACACGACTTAGATCTACGGTATATAACACCGGTCCAAAACACCCCATTCTCGCGCCTGGCACTTTCAACCTGAGCACAGCCGTTACTATCAGCTGTAGAAGTACTGTACATAATCCCCACCGAAACGCCCCCGAAAAGCCACCGAGACAAATGCATTTCCATGAATAAACACCCAGTACCAGGTAGCCAACCGGAACTACCGTATCCTCGCAGCTCCCGGTCGATCCCGGCAAACCGCCGGTGAGGCCAAATAAACTGCCACGCTACTGCGCACGAGAGGTGATTCCCGGGCAGTTATTGGCTGGTAGCATGCCACAACTTGTCGCGTGGCTGCTGAACCCTTGTTCTATGGGCGAATTTGTGTTCCTAGCGGAAGGAACATTGTCGGAGTTGGCCGAGGTCCTCTTCTTGGCGTCCATGACTACTGCACAGTACCGTATGTGTGACAATGCCGGTACGCGCGCCAGCCAGCGACCCGCGAGGAGATGCTACTCGTAGATGGGACAGGTAAGTGGGGCTGAGCGAGCATATTCTACTCGTAGAAAGAAAGAAAGACAGATACCGTAAGAGGAAATCTAAAGAGGGAGGTGTTCTTGTGTCGATGGATATTCGGGTAACCGTGTCGACAGCCGGAGATCGACGGACAGTAGAGTGCCTGATATCTTGTAGCGCTCAGAAATTTAGAGATATAAAAGCCGGACTAATAAACATACGATGCCCTGGAACGGAGGCATCGGGGAAACATTCGGTATTCAAGAAAATATTATATAGTTTATCGCAGTTCCACAGGTTAACCCCCCCCCCCCCCCGCGCAGGGGGGATTTATAACTCTTACCAAACCGCATAATGATAAGAACCCAACGACCAATAATGTTGGTTGGAAGTATCACCATATCACATACAATACAATATCGCGTCAAGATACTAGATCCCAACCCCACGTGTAACCCATCCTTAGTCCTCCCGTTCCACAAGAACTGGTACCAATCGTGGCTCCCGGGCTGGCCATGGCTCTTTGACCCCCACCTCTCGGAAGAGCACTTCCCCCACCCGGTATCGGGGCTCCGGCAAGGCCTCCAAGGCTCAAACCACCCCGACAAGTTGAGGAGTCGATCCGGGAACCCGGCCTGCGACCGCCGGGCTTTGCCAATGCCTCATCGAGCCTGTCAAGTGTCATGGTGGACCCGAGATACAAGTACGCTCTGCCTATGAACCCGGGTGGATAGCGAACGGTGGGTAACTGGGCTGTGTAATGGCATAGTTTATCCGAGATTAGTAACATCGTGAAATCCTAACCCAGAGTGATAGCGGAATTCAAAGCCAAATCTACCAAGAGTCCAAGGATTCGTAAGGCGGGATTTCGGTAGTCATAGTGTGGGAGATATAAAATTGACATACGACCAGCTCCGCCTGCCAAGTTTTAATGGGTCACTGCTTTGCCAAATCACTCACAAATAACGGTAACAGAGCGCTCTGACATATAGCGTACTGGAATGGTTTCTCCTCTCCTGAGCCATAGTTACAAGCCAAATATATAATTATCGTCGGTGGAAACAGAAAATTCCCCTCTCTCTCCCGCCTTAGTAGCAAGCCGATGCAGAACTAGGGCGAGTGGCGTAGAAAACCAAGAAACAAAGTATAGTCTGAAAACAAGATGACCCCAAGTCTACGCTACGGGTATAACAAAAGCCGACTTTTCTCTATTTATATGTGGGGGAAATGAAAAGGGGGAAATGAAAACGGAGCTAAGGGAGAATAACCGGGGGGTGGAATTTAGTGCAACTTCTCACTACAAAACCTAAAAGCAGGAAAGGAACGCAAAAAATAGTTTATTCAAGAAAATCTACCAATCATCAGACTCGTCCTTTTTCCCTCCTCTCATGGCTTGCTGCCTATCTAATAACTAACGAACCATATGTTAGTATCCATGTGGCGGGGCATTATCGGGCAAACTTACAGCCTGCGCTAAGCCAGGTGCAAAGCTTGTTGTAGAGCTTCCGGCCCCACTGCTACTACTAGTAGTACTTCCCGCAATACTGCTTCTGTTCTCCACCACCACAGGTTTTCTTCCGATAGCCGGCCTCTTTGCTGGAGGGGTTGGTGGCGCTGGCTTCTTGCCCGCCACTCTAGCCGCCCCATTTGCCGGCCGAGCAGGTGCAACAGGTGCGACAGGTGCAACAGGTGGTGGAGGTGGCGGGGGTGGAGGAGGAGGAGCAACCTCTTCCTCAAGATATGCCGACGGCGCCCAACCTTGCTCGGTAGAATTCAATTTTTTGGTAAGCCACCACCCATTGGCCTCCTTACGAATTATTATAACTACTTCATCTTTGGAAAGAGAGAGCTCATTTTCGGTTTGGCCTGCGAAGTCGTAGAGAGCCCGACAGGTAGGGTCCGCAAGGCGGGGAGGCGCAGCTGGAGGTGCGGGTGGTGCCGGCGGGGGAAGACGGCTCGCTGAACTAGTGGAAGAATTGCGGGAATGGGTGTTCAGAGCCGCAATTAGATTTTGAGGGACTGCCCGACCCTCCGGCGCAACTGACGTTTGGGGGACGGGGCGCGATGCACCGGTGTTTATGTTTGGAGTTGGAGTTATGCTTGGTTGGGGTGTTGGCCGTGGAGCGGGCTGTGGGACAGGTTGTGGGACCGGCCTTTCAGCCATCACAGGATTTTTATTTCTTGCTGGCCCGCCCCCGGGCCCGCCAGGCCTCAAAAGTTTGCCAGTAGTCACTGGTCGAGCAGCAACAGGTTTCCCCTTAGGGGTCGGTCTTGAGATACTGTTGGGTAGTTCCCCGGGCCCCACATGAATAGTAGAGCTCTTGTAAAGATCGTCCCTCGGGATTGCAGGGTCTTTAACAACTTTGACAGCCGCCATCTTTCCAGGCTTTTTGGCGTACTCAATCACTGGCCCAATCCTTAAATCGAGCCCGCCGGGCATAGCCGCCCGAAGATGTGTTACGAGCTCCGTTTTGAAGACGCAGGAGACGAGTGTGTCCGGTTGTTGAGGAGAACCAACCCCAAGAGAAAACCAATCATCCCGGAGGCTAGACATACTGACAAACTTGATGGATCCGAGCGGTATGGTCCTCTCAGAGGATATCGCGACTTGGCCGTTGGCCATTGCCTGCACCACGACATATATTGCTTTGTTGGTCTAAAGAATTAAATCGTCAGCATTTACTGATCATGAGGGGAGCGCGATGCAGATAGCTCACCATCACTAATATCCTAGGACTCGGCTTGCTGCTTCTCCCTAATTTGGACACCAGGATCTGGGACCTGCAGCTAAACAAAACTTTCTCCCCTGGCCCAATTCCCGCAGGTGCACGAATGGGCTCAAGTCGACTCCCCGCGTTCGCTATGCCAAGATAATCCCCCATAAACCTGCGACTACCCAATAAACTCATTCTCCTCCTTTCTTTCCTTCCCCCGAGTAGCTTGTGCCCCTGGTCTCTGATCTTCAAAAATTCATCCCCACCTCTCTTCTTTCTCCAAGCCCTCTGAATTCTAGTCGCACACTCCGCCCGGTACCTCAAGTAGTTCCTCCAGGCACGCTGGATTCTAATTGCCATGTTATGCCAATACCTATCCCTCATCGTCTCCAGTGCAAACAATGTCTCAGGTGTCTTGATAAATGCCTTCGAGACACCCATCTGATATTCCTCCTTCGGAATACTCGTATCTTTCAGGATCTGAAGGGTGCCTGTACGTGCGTCTCCAGTCCAAGTATAGTCACCGGCATAGGAAGTTTTAGGCGATAAAAGATAAAATCGCTCTACAAACTTTTCGAAGGTTTGGCGATATGCAAATCCTGCTCTTCGAATACGAACGTTCTCCTGCAAGCCTAGATACTTAATTTGATGTAATACTGCAGGCACATCATACTCCGTGGGGCTCTTGTTCTGGTTGGGCTTGATCGTTCGGATATAGCTGGGCTGAGCCTTCATCAAGGTAGTGACAAGATCATTTGCTGATGCCTTGATCTTGTCGCTGGCTGTCGGAGGCCGCCTCTTCGAATCTCTATCCACCTGGTTCGGAAACAACGTTCTCAAGAATGCATTTCCGCTCTGTCCCACCAAATCCAGAAGATCCTTTAACAACTGATCCTTGTTCTTATCCGTCATCCCAGTAACTGTGTACATGACATCTCCGGCATAATGCTTGACGAGGAATTGCCCTTGGCGATTCTCAAAGTGTGGGTTCGACGCCAATATGTTGAGCCTTTGAACAAAAGTTCCATCAGCGGCGCCTGAATCAGCGTGAGCCGTCGCACAGGCATCGTTGAGGGCAGCAAACACCCCAGGTGGTCTCCTCTCTTCAATCAAATCGCACACGATCTTGTTGTCAAAATACTTAATCGGCGTCCATGTGATTTGCTCTCGTGCATATTCTTCCTGTTCGGTTCGGAGGGTGAGTTGAATGAAGATCTGTTGTAGTTTCTCGTTGACGTAATTAATACAAATCTGCTCGAAGGAATTATTCTCAAAAATCTCAAATCCGTAGATATCGAGAATTCCTATCGTGTGCGCAATAAATCCCCGAGTCTTCATGGAGATGTTCACACGGTCAACTATCCACTCGAACAGGTTTTGGTAGATCGCCTTCCCAAGGGCATCCCGGACGGCGGTAGCCTGGGTTGGGTTGAGAGGAACTTCGTAGACCGATCCCCGCCGGCCGCCGCGGGAAGTCTCAATCATTCTCGTCGTGAGGGCCTTGTGCACAGCAGCGCCGTCAACTTCGAGTAAATATGCGACAAAATCAGTCACACTTGAATCGCTAATCGCCCCATTGCCTTGCTCATCTTCAACAAATTGGATATTCCCCAGCCATAAAATGGCAGCCAACATTCGGAATATCTGATCTTGTTCCCCCTGAGACAATCCAATGACCCGCATGGCATTCAGAGTATCTTGGAACTCAGCTACATCATCAATTCCTGGAACATCAAGGCACTTTGATTTGGAAGTATAGAGGTATGTATCCGGTGTCTGCAGTCCAAATGATTCTATTATCATTATTTTCCTGTTAGCAAGCTCTAACATATCGTATCCCTATAAACGGAAATCCGCCCTCACCCCTATAATTTAGACCAGCGGCCTTCGTAAACTGGTAGAAGATGTGGAAATTCCTCTCATCTCTAATTTGTTCAACAACCCTTGTCTTCTCAAGGAGATAGTTTGTGATATTCGCACCAACAGGTTCCCCTTGGCTATTGAACTGAATTTCCAAATACTTTCCGTGGCGGCTAGAATTATTATTTCTTAACGTTTTCGCGCACCCAAATGATTCGAGAAGAGGATTGGTAGCTAAAACCATATCTTTGATCTCTTGGATCGTCGTCGAAGATGTTGATGATGCCGCGGCGATATACTGCATTATTCGTTTGGCGGCTTCGGTCTTTCCAGCTCCCGATTCACCACTGCAGAGATTGGTTAGCATTCGTACTGGCTTCTTCCCCGGCCCAGTACGACTCGTTCAATTTGCTTTTTTCTTATCGCATGTGCCAAGCCGACTCACTGCTGCCTTCTGGAAAACTTTCATTCCAAGAGCTTCACATACCTGATGATGATACATTGATTCTCCTTGTACCCGTTCATGTTATAATAGGCGCTCTCCGCAACAGCGAACACATGCGGCGGAACCTCCAGTCGATTCTTCCCTCTATAGCTCGCTAAGACCTGGTCGGTGTAGATTCCGAGATCCCGGAACGGATTCACAGAGATAAGCACATGGCCGATGTATGTCTGGATGCCCCTATTAGCACAACTCCAAGGCTCCAAGACTACCGAATACAAACATAAATCTCACGGTTCTCAAACCGCTTCCTCAGATTCTCATTGATAGCTTCATTAGATATCTTTGATATCAGCGTGAGATCTGTTACGCCGACTTCCTTTTTCTTTGTTGTTTCGAATACAGCCTTCTTAACCTTGGGTTGACCGCCGCTTGACGAAGGGGCATCCTTGCTCTTCGCCTTACGGCCCGCACGTTTGGTGGCTGCCTATAGAGCTCAGTCAATTGGTAAGCTGGTTTGAAAACCGTTAGAACCGGCTACTCACCATGAGCTCGAGTTGGGGGAGAAGAGGGGCTCAGCCTCTCGCAGTTTAAAGCAGATTTGTTCTCGAGCAAAGGGCAAGAGATGAGTAGCCGCCAGGATAAAAGGCCTCTCAGCGCACGGCGAAGTTGTAGAAATGGAGTCGAGTGGTGGAGCGGAAGATAATGAGGGGGGAAACTCTGATGGTATCCGTCGCTGCTCCAAGGCACCAGTCAAACACGTTGATCCTGAAACTACCCCTTAGTCAGCCGAAGGTCCTTGTAAGCTGGCTTGGCGTTTTCCTCTGCGCCCTCACTGCTGACGACGACTGAGAAGAGCAGGAGAGGCGATGTTACAATATACGCGTCAATTCCACCCACAACAAAGAAGCCTCACCTCAGTGATATCTTGTGATTGCCCCGGTTTCTCTCTGATCGCTACCGTGTTATCTGGAGCATGATAAGCAAGAGGCAAAGGATCAAGTTCATAATATCTAAATACTAAACAAGAACATAATTCCAAAACACCTTGAGTTGGCAAATTAATACCTAAAATTAGCCTCGGTGGCTTTTCAATTTTCCTCAGGTTGGGGATTACCCCCTCTTCGGCCGACTCCTCGGTTTAGTGTTGCCGTGTGCGCGGGTGGTACTTTCCGGATACACAGCACGGTGGGAGAGGCACATAACGCCCCTAGGGAAGCTATAAATAAGCCCGCTTAAATCATCTGCGTGGTAATCTGGTCAAATTTCCTGAATGATATCATACCTACAGAACACTACAAACTACCTTCTATAGTGCTGCAATAATAATATATTATAATTTTCCATGGCACAGCAGTACCGGTAATGGAGAGATGCGAGACATATGAATAGAGTCTCATACTTCTGCCTCAGAAATTTTCCTCCACCATAGAACTATAGCAACATACAACAGAAAAACTATTACCCCAAAGCCAGTTACCAAGCTGTCATACTAGATAAAATTAAAAAAAAATATAGCAAAATGTCTTTTTTTCAGAATATAACTAAGCTGTCTGCCACTACCATTATTTCCTCCATTAACCTCCAGAACCAAAATGACGGGATGGTATTTTCATGCGTTGTAGGGGCTTCATAGTTTCCAATTATAAAATTCCTCGTATTCCCTGCCCTTATCCACTTTCTTCTTATGTGTATATTACAAATACTAGGCTTCTATTAGCACTAAGTTGGTACTATCATACTACTATATTACATAGTACTATATAGTTGTCACTTGTATTTAAACTTCTTTCTATTTCCTAATGTATCCTATATAGTAGGACTTTCTTGAATTTATTGCTTCAAAATATATAGTAACTCTAAATTCTATAGATAAATCAATAAGCTTAACAAAATCTACAACTCTAATAAGAAAAAATATCTAATTTCCCCTTTAACAGGACTTAATATAATACTTGCTATAATATAAACAATTACTAGATATCACATATATACATACATTCAAAACCTTCTAGCTAATTCAATAACCTCTAAATCACATAATAGAAACAGTGGAAACTATAAGGCTTAGATTCATATATTGAAGTAAATTACATCTTCGCAATCCAGAATTAATTGATAAGCTCCAAAATTCTTAAAGTTTATATCCTATTCCATGGTTCCAGAAAACTAAAACCTAAACCAGCTGTCTCACAACTTAAAAGTGTGCCGACTTTGGATGTAACAAAAAGGGATAATGATTACTAAAGAAGTTATGACACTATGATAACAGAAGCCTTTCCCAATACTCATAGAACGCACGCTGAGCGGCATAGGGTGTGAAAGATATTGACTTCAAACAAATATCATATTATCATATCATATATAATTACCAATAGGGTATCAAACAAATAAACCCAAACACCCGTATTGCTAGCGCTAGGTATAGCGAGAGTTCCCAAACAAAACAGTCCCACAACAAAGGAAAAAAATCGCAGTGAGAAGGAATTCTTCCACTCGGCAACGAGGGGGTGATACACAGCGAGCTCAACCCTTAGTTGAGGAAACAAAGGAAATACACACAGCTCTTTACCGGGGGGGGAACTACAAGGTCACGGCACATTTATCCTCTATTCGGGTTCTTACGGTCGATTTGAAGGGTCCAGATTTTGACGATGGTTTTTCAACCTTCTGTCTCCGTTCCCGCTGCGCTTCGCTGTTGGGACTCCGATACAAATGTTAAGCGTTGCCGCACGCACCTAAGTGAAATAGTGCATAACTTAAGTCCAAGTACCTTTCTGAGACAAAACATGAACTCATTATTACAGCAAGGCAATCACAGCCCCTCACTCGCGAAGAGTTTACAACCCCACGATGGACATATCTGAACCACTAGGCACACTAGAGCTAAAAACTTTCCTTACTTTGTCATCTTCTTCCCTTTCACTCCCCGCTTCATTCCTCATCCCTTCCGCCCCTTTCATCCCTTTCCTAACACCTCGAACCCTCCACTCTGTTTACTCTACTTTTTCTATTCCACATCCTTTCCCCCTTCGAAGCATCTCACTCCCCCCCTAAAACCTTCGTTCGGGTCATTACCCCCCTCCACACGCTCAACCCCACACAGCCCACATCCAGCTACACAACCCCGCCATAACCCAACAAGATCCATGCAATTCCACCCGGTAAGCAACCACACCATGATACCAGGCGCCCTTGTGAACCTTCCAAACTCACCGCCCCCACCCTGCATTCCGAGCCCTCCACATACCCCTCCTCAATCCCCCAGAGCTCCCGGGAACCGACAGATCTTGCTCCGAATCCGTGCCTCATGCTATCGTGGCTGCACCCACGGGGGAGAATATATATTACCTTCTATAACAAGCCCAAGGCGATACAAAGCTATCCTGGGGAGTCTAGCACAACCACACATGACAATAGGAGCCAACTCGGCAGGAAGACACTCAGATCCACAGCACGTCAATCACCACTTTCGCACATAGCACACATTCCTCCTCTTCAATAACAGAATTAAACCATTCGCCGTGGCATCACTAGTAAAACGATCGCACCGCCTCCCCACCAATAGCCCCCGGTGCCTCCACAGAAAAAGGACGATCCCCAAAACATATTCACTTATATACAGGTATCCCTGACAGGAGCTCACTAACATACACTAGCGTGAGTAATTCTAGGAGAGTAGAAATCCGTGCACAGCAACTTTGGCGATAAATTAACCCATACTAACGCAGAAGCGGAAAAAGCTAAAAAACTCTGTCCATATAATCTGACCACCCAGAGAAACGCATCAAGCTAGAATACCTGCTAATCCCCAAGTACATTAAATACCCCTGAGTTGACATCTGCGGTACCGGGGTACAGGACACCTGCCATCTACTCAATCCCCCTCTCAAACCTGCAAGGGACTCCAACATCCCCCCCCCATAACCCTCATTCCCACTTTACCCCCCCCTCCCGTGGGAACCACACCAGCTCAAATATAGCCCGCAACCACCCTAACATGCTACACACCACCCACACATTCTAGATTAACCCCAAGCAGCGGACACCACCCCGGATCCACAGCACAGCACAAAATGACGAGCATACATATGGGCCGATAATTAGATGCACTCGAGTGCTCCGATGGACCCTGATTGACAGGTGCACCGTACTAATGCCCCCGGATTGAAGTCCCGGCCCGTTGGCAATGACGCACAATAGATTGGGGGGGGGGCTAGTCCTCAACCTGGCGAATGTGAGAGTAACAAATCT